AACGGGGTGAAGTAAGCACCGAGGACGATGCACACAGTGGACTCCCCAAAGGGTCTGTTACCGATGAAAACATGAAAGAAGTCCACAAAATAATTTTGGATGACCGCAAAGTGAAGTTGATCGAGATAGCCAAGGCTCTGTAGACATCAAAGAAACGTGTTGAATGAATATCTGGGTATGCGAAAGTTCTGTTAAAAGAGGTTGCCCCGCGAGCTCACAATCAACGAAAAACAACAACGAATTGATGATTCTGAGCAGTGTTCGAAGCTGTTCCACCATAAAACCACGAATTTATGCGTCGATACGTGACAATGGATGAACCACGGTTTCATAATTTCACACAAACTCAAGAGCGTTCAAAGATGCAACAGTTGGCTGACAAGGTTATGGTATCAGTATTTCGGGATGCGCATGGTATAATATTCACAGATTATCTTGAAAAAGAAAAAACTTTCAACAGCGACTATTACATAGCGTTATTGAAGCGTTTGAAGGATGAAATCGTGAAAAAACGGACCCATTTGAAAAAAAAAGAAAGTGCTTTTATATCAAGACAATACACAGTGTCACAAATCAATGAAAACGATGGTAAAATTGTGTAATACCTAGAAAAAGCTATGTTCGTTAGTATATATTCTAACTTCTGGAATAGATTTCTTCTGATTCAGAATTTTAAACGCCGGTCCTGTGTCATATACAATGTGACACCTCCGGCCAGACCGTGAGAGTGTTTATATAAAAATGTATCTCCGTGTTTTTGACCAGATGCAAGAAAGATCAAGTCCTCAGTATAAAAAAAATCATTGAATTCTTTATGGTGACAACGGTGGTATAAGCATGATATTTATAAAGAGTACTTCGAATGAGAGCACTTTATAAACACCCCTTGTATACGGATTCAATGATCAGCTATTACAATTGCATGAATTGGGCTTAGAGTTGCTCTCGCGTTCACCGTATTCTAGACACCCGGCGATTTTCTTTTGTTCTCAGACCTCAAGAGAATGCTCGCTGGAAAGAAATTAGTCCAGTCATTATAATAAGTTCACCTCGGAATTCGAGATACCCAGCTGTAAGTCTGTAAATACTCGTATATTGACAATGCCGATGTTGGAGGAAGACAAGATAGTTGTACTTGCTTCTTGTTTCGGGAATTTTTGACAAAGGTTAAATATATGTACTTATCAATGCAATCTACTTTTTTCGACCAAAATTGCACCTTTTCTTTCCAAATAATAATCACTAAAAACTCTTATAGTAGACGCTTGTAATGAATACGTATATTCATTGGAACAGAACGTTCAACACTAAAAGAAGCAGGCACACGAACGACGCCACATGTACAATAGAATAGGTAGCCAGATGTTATATTCAAGGCCATACGGGTAAAGGGGATTTTCGAAGGGACTGACGGTCCTTTAAATGTATATTTTTTGAATATAATATATGGTATACACATAAAAGAGATACAAACAGGCATTTTTACTTGGTTAAGTACCTGAATGTGTATATACGTGGCTAATGTGTGCATATTACATAGAACGTGACTTTTATAATTGCAATTTTTCAGGAATGATGATACTTACAAAAAAATCATAGATACCATTTACGTAGAGAATTTTGAGATCTACAACTTTGGTCTGAAGTATTTTGTTGATAAAACTTATGGTTTTCAATAAAAACTCAAAAAACCTGAATAATTGTTGAAGCGCTCATGGGACAAATTGAGACTTTCAGATTTTTATTTTTTATGGTAAAATGAAGGTCTTCACCGAAAGTTACCTCTGTCGCAATTTTCGTCAATTCAATATTGTTTAATGACCGGACTATCAAGAAAACCCCACAAGAAAAAGTCTAACGAGGTCAACTCGCACTATTCTTTTCTCATCTCATCTTTTTATCGACTTCATAAATTTGTTATCTAGTTTTGGACTCAGTTCGAAGATGGAGTGGCCTACCCGATTAGGTGATAACTCCTTCAGTATCATTGACCACATTTTCACTAATATTCCATATGTATATATGTGTTTCAGATAATTATGTCTCAGATCATAGAATTATACTCCTTGAAACTAACCTGATTGAAAAACCAGCTCAATCTCAAAAAAGTAGTTTCAAAACGTCGTTCAATTCAAATAAACAAACAGATTTTTTGTCAGCAGTGATAAATAGTATAACAAACACACTCTTCTACAACTATGAAAAATATTTTCTTAGTAGATGAAAGTGAGATTGTGAATGATCCTCAAAGAATATCCTGCCTTCTCAATGATTATTTCATCAGTACCCCTATGAAGATAATTGGGGAGATTAAAAATAATAACTCATCCAATAATCACATCAATCATCTTAGGTTAGGTTAGGTCCAAAGGGAGTGGGTTTATTCGACCCTCCACCGCAACCCGCAAGGGTTTATTGTGGCTCACACCTATTCACATCCGGCCAAATAAACCCAGCTTCTTAACGAAGCCGATTAGTTTGTATGGTGAGTGGTCTTTCAGGTCAGATGGTAAGAGTATGGCTCTGCCGAACTCTAAAGACCTGATTTGGTCCCCAGCGGGGCAGGCACAAAGTATATGCTCTGTTAATGAGGTAGTCGGATAGTCAAGTTGAAAGATTCACACCTTGATACCCACGACAACCTTCCCATATGAGGGTCAGCTACACCTGACGATGCCTAAGATTCAGCCGTGCAGGGCTTATTTGCCTCTGGTTTTGGTGAATCATCACTTAAGAGCAAACATTTGTTAACCTGCTCATAGGGGGTTTGTTCCCCCACATGAGACAGATTCTGCGTACGCCGCTCAAGAATTTATTGTAAGGCGGTTTTATAAGGTACCCCGCTCTTGAGGAGACGACTCAGTCGTTTCCTGGCTGCACCACCAAACCTTTTTTTAAGGTTCAGTTGTTGGATCAGGAGTTGAGGAGTTGATAAGCTCTCGCTCCTGAACTAAATTTACAGGGAGGTCAGTTGAAGTCGTAAGCTCGACATCCATCTCCTCTGGAGACTCAGCATCAGAAAGAATTTTTAAGTTTACTTTGTCCATAAAAGTCCCACGAGTAGCTAGGGAAAGATGGTCAATCACGACAGAGCCCCGCATTGTCGTTACAAGGCGATGCTACGACGAGAGGGCACCCGGTATCTCGAAGGTTCCGTAGAGACAGCTGATAGGCTCAGTATCATTCATCCTTTCGGCACGGATACACATACCTTAGTGTTATTTCTGGGGATTGGTGTTACTATGTAACAAATAAAATACTTTCCCCAATCGATAATATTATATATATTACGAAAATAATGTGAACAACAACTGAAAAATAATGTGCTTTTAAAATACAAGAAACCAACAGACATTATAAAACCCTTCATAAGAAGTACATAAAAACAAAGCGATGTGTAGTACCTACAGTCAGGGAAGTAGATATTTCGGAAACGAAATACACTACACTCTTCCTTTCTAAATAAAGAATATTTTAGATAATTCAAAATCATAATCAACAACAAATTTATTCGGTAATGAACCTAATTACCTATAAGTTAATCTTTCCGGAGGCTTGACATTACTTTTTGGTCTCTCCGTATTTGTAATAGATTCACCTCCATGGTCGAATGTTTTCGGAATCGAGACAGAACTGATTCCTTGAAATTCTTCAGATGAACTCGAGCAGTTTAGTTCAACGGTTTCAGATTTTTCTCCCTTTTGTTCTGCACTCTCATTTTCAGCGATAGGTAAACGACATTTAACATTTAATTTGAAGATCTGATAAGTATGACGTTTCCATATACGATTAATAGCAGGTACAGAAACTATATAAGTACATTTGCCTATAATTTTTTATGATCGCAGGTATCCATGTAACTTTGTTGAACGATAATCTTTTACAATAACGTGTTCATTAACGTTAAAGGTCGGTCTTTGCTTCCTTCCAAAATTTTCAATTTGTTTTGCTTGTTTTTGGAGAACTTTTTCCCTGATTTCGCCTTCGCTGGGATGCCATTCAGTTAGGGAATAACAGAACCACAAGTGATTCTGTCATTCCCGTATCCAGCGGGGCTACGTGAAAACAGGCATCTGATGACCGGTTTGCTCAACCCCCCCATCCCAAGCCAATGCACTCGTCGAAAACAGCATGCACAGTGGTTCAGGCAGTGAAAGATGACCATGGACAGTCAACCCGCCATCAATCATCTTACTAAAGTTTATAACTCTATATTTCTTGAGCCTTCTATAGATAATGAACTGTTATCTCTCCTAACGAATAAACTTAAGAATAAAAGTTCTTCTGGACCCGATAAAATCCCAATGTTCTTGATCAGAAAAAGTTTGCAATACATTATTTATCCTTTGACTTACTTAGTCAATCTGTCCTTCAGTACAGTAGTGTATCTCAAAAAATTAAAGCCGGAAAAGTTGTACCCGTTCATAAAAAATCGGATCCATATCTTTCAGAGAACTATAGGTCCATCACTGTTCCATCTAGTTTCTCAAAAATATTTGAATATGTATGCCTACATCGTTTACTACATTTCATTGAAAGGCATAACAATATCTCCCCGATTCAACATGGTTTTCGATCCAATTAATATGTCCACTATTACTGCTGTGACAGTTTTTTACTCAAAAATCTTGGAGTACATCGAGACTGATGAATGCCGTGCTGGAATATTTTGTGATACAGGAGTCAATTTGTTTCGGAAGAGGAAGATTAGAGAGGAAGATTAAAAACTTCCTCCTCTTTGAAGATGATCACTTGGTGATCGAAACACGTGTCGAGGTGTTAAAAATAACGATTTGGTGTTGGGAAAAAACTCCAGTAATATTAATTCATTGGAAGTTTGATAGACGTAGACTCTGCTGTTAACATTGAGAATGTTACATTCGAACTATCGGAGCAGTAGAATTGCTTCTGTTGGATTCATTCTACGCCTGAAGTTGCTATATCATCTTTCAGTTCAGTCAGGATATGACCAACTGAAACATGTTCTATTATGTTTTCAGGTCCAGTGGCATCCCAAGTCTCACCCAGATGAACTATTGAATTTGTGCAAACAGTCTGGTGTGCTACTTCAAGCATGGGGTTCATTAGGAGGAACGGGCCACGGAGATTTATTATTGGATGATCCTGAGGTTAAGAAAATCTCGGAGAAATTAGGGAAAACTCCAGCTCAGGTAGAAAATACTCCTTCATTTTCAAATATTCAAATACTAGAATGAATAACGCGTGGTTTCAAATATACCCGGGTTTTTCTTCTATTTCTTCTTATTTCTTTCGGGTGGAATTGGGTTTGAAACACCTTGGTATACAGGGTGTTTCAAATTCGATCCTCACCGTTGGGATCTCGAAAAGTGTTAGAGATACGGATATGGTTAAATTGGGGAAAAGTTGCGCATATACCTTTCTAACAATATTCCGTTGAGAAAGTTCTGAAATTCCGAGTATATCCTATATGAAAATGGAACTTTGAACAAATAACAATAATTTACTGAAATGTAAAGACGAAAGTAAATCACAGCAAATACTCAAAATGCTGGCCTTGTTCATGATAACACAACTGTGCCCTTCTTCGAATATTATTCACTGCACTGTAAGTCTGGAGACCTTGCTGGCCACCTCACCAGCCCATTATTTTCTATTCATTTATCACCAAACCTTTCAGTCAGGTAAGCACATAGTCGCCTGGTAGTGTGCGGTGGAGCACCATCATGTTGAAACCAGATGTTGTTATAGTTAGCCAAAGGTAGATCATCCAAATAGTCTTCGAAAATCGACATCAAAAACTGGTAATAGGTTTCTCCATTCAGAATTCCGTCAGATAAATGAGGACCCAAAATTCTATCTTTGTAAATTCCTGCTCATACGTTAATAGTAAATCGCACTTGAGGTCGAATTTTTTGGAACTGCCTGGGGTTGTTCATGTTCCAAATGTGTCCTTTAATTTGGTTGAATATCCCACAATTCGTAAAAGTACTTTTATCTGTCCAAATTACATTTTCCGGGAAAACAGGAAAATCAGGTCTTTTTATTAGCCAATTACAAAATTCTAATCGCCTTTTTTTGAGATGTCTACAAGCACTTGTATGACAAATATTCATTTCGGAGGAAATTTGACGTGTAAATTTTCCCGGATCCATGTTTATCTGCAAATTATTAATTTTTATTGAAAAAGACACAATGTCTAATTTACCACATACATACTTCATTTATCAAATTTTCTTCAGTTTTCTGGTCCATTCTGTCTCCGTATTTTTTCCTCGGCTTGAACGTAATTCGATGTGGTTGTCGTCTTTCGGGATACAAGTTGAAATACATTTCCGATGTACTAACACTGTTTATATCGTATTTGTAATACATTTATATTATATTTCTTTTTTCTTCATTCGTGAAAGCCATTTTTCGCCAAAAATTCAATGACTTGTACAATATCAAAATGTCATCGAGTGTAACAAATTGAAAGTCAAATTTAGGAACATGTAAGTCAAGCCTATTATGATAAGAATATATTTTCAATATCTTCAATTTTTCGAGAAAGAATGATAACTTATGATACATCATTGATAAGGTGAAATTTGGTTCTATTAAAAACAGAAAGAATCCAATGTAGCCCCACAAGAAAAAATAAATTTGAAGATGCTGGTCGAAAGACGAAACATCGGATAGCAAATCTGAAAACACCATTATGTAAGAGGGAAAAAGTGGCAATGTGAAAGTGCAATTTATTTTCTAATCCTTCAAAAAATAAAGACAGAAAAAAATAAAAACCATCTTCCGAAATTTCTGTTTTTTTCGGATATCTCCGGATATACACGGAATTTCAGAACTTCCTCATAATGTTGTTAGTCAGGTAAATGCAGAACTTTTTCCCAATTTAACCATCTTCGTATATCTCATAGTTTCCGAGATCCCAATGGTGGGTATCGAATTTGAAACACCCTTCATATCTTGTACATGTGATTTTGAAAATTATTATTCATTGAATATTTTCAATCATTTTAAGGTTCTTCTGAAGTGGGCGCTCCAGCAGAACCTTGGCATTATTCCTAAGGCAAGTTCCAAGAACCACATCGAGGATAATATGAATTTAGACTTCAGTATCCCAGAGGAAGATATGAATACTTTGAACAACATGAAACAAACATCTGATATATGGGAACGCCTCAGTGTTATCTAAATTATTTAGCACTACCAGACAATCAACTGAATTAAAAATTTTTGTTCGATTTTTGTTCAATGAATATTTTGTTAAAACCAATGCATTTGAATTAAATGAATGTTATCGATCAATTTTACAGAATTACTTGAATTTTCGTTTAGGTGGGAATACCAGAAGGTATCTAGAGGACCATCTGGGCGTTTCATAAATTGAAATCTAAATACGATAGGTTGCCTTTTGTGTTTCGGGATTTGGCAATCCAAGTGAAGCAATATGGCAACTGACAGCTATTGTAAAGTTGGACATTTTTGAGCTTATACGTACTTTTTGACATAAGCGCACCATTTGTGTTGTTTACAGTAACTGAAAAGATTCATTTTCGTGCGATTATTTTTTACAACGTTCGACTTGGATTAACTCAGCAACAGTGCATGAATGAATTCAATTCATTTTTGGCGCTGAAGCTCCATCAAGGACCAGTGTTTATCGATGGTATGGTGAGTTTAATTGTGGTCGTAGTTCACTCACAAAATCATTTGTTGTTTCGAAAACCATTGATGCTGTGCGCGAACTGACATTGCAAGATCGTCATGTGACCCATCGTGAGATTGAGACAACCTTAGGCATTAGTGGGATCAGCATACATTCAATATTACATAAACATTTGACTGTCAAAATCATTTGTTCGCGTTGGATCCCACACAATTTGTCAATCGCTCAAAAAAAGGATCGTGTCGATTGGTCGAAGGAAATGCTCAAAAATAAGATCGCGGTGTTTCGAAACACGTCTATGACATCATGACAGATGATGAATCGTGGATTTACGCGTATGAGCCCGAAAGTAAACAGCAATCGACTGTAGGTATGGGTGTTCCATGAAGAGCCAAATCAAACAAAAGTTTTTCGCGCACGAAGCACTTCCAAGCAAATGGTCGACTGTTTTTTCGGAAAAAATGGACATGTCGCAACCGTACCACTAGAACAACGAACAGTCAATTCCGAGTGGCACAAAACCATTTGTTTGCCAGTTGTCTTTCAAAAAATCAGGAAAACCAACCACCGAAGACGGATCACTCTTCATCACGACAATGCGAGCACACATCGGCTCAAACAACTGCATTTTTGAGCACCCAAAACATCGATTTGATGAGTCATCCGCCGTATAGTACTGACTTGGCACAGAATGACTTCTTTTTATTCCCGCACGTAAAAACAAACTGAGAGGTCAACGTTTTTCGACACCTGAAGAAGCGGTTGCTGAATTCAGAATGCATATTTTGGAGATACCTCAATCAGAGTGGCAAAAGTGCTTCGACAATTGGTTCAAACACAGGCAAAAGCGAATAGATCTTCATGGGGAATATTTTGAAAAACAATAAAGTGATTTTTGATGATTAATATTTGTTTTTGTTCTCTAATTCTCAAATATAAAAGGCAACCCTCGTATAAATGGGTGGGTACTCAAAAGGCGTACTCTCTTATGATAAACAAACTTCTTCAACGAATGTTTGTTAATCAGGCTTCTTTCATCGCACATTAAAAGTTATTACTCCAGCAGATTTTGTTCATTATACCACTTCAGGTTCTTCTTATTGGAAAATCATATGATTCATAAATATACGTATTTTATTTCATAACGGGTTAATTTTTCGACCGGATCGAATGCTTTCTCACAAAATTAAACTTTTTCTAGCCTAATGATCAAAGTATTTCAAAGTCTGAAACTGAATTGAATTCTTTTTGGAAACAAAGTGGCATCATTAGACTAATTTCAATATTTATTCAGTTACACAGTTGCATTCAATTCTCTTGTTAGTTTGTACTTATTCAACTTTAATTTCTTATCCAATTCGAGCGTATCATAATAGACGCATGAAATAGCTCAGTTTCTATAACGTTTGAATATATTGAAGTTTATCTTCAATAATCACAAGTCTTCATGTTGAAAACACTCAATTTATTTCGAATTCAATATAATTTTTGAACCCTACATTTGAGTTTTCATCCTATAGCTGTATCAGATGATATATTATGATCTATTATATAAATAAAACAGTCACAAAAACGTGTGTTCATGCTTTTTGCATTGTTGGATTTAACATTTGAAAAATCAGAAGAAACAACAGTACGTTTGCAGACTGATACAACTACCAATGTCTCTACTCATTTCCACTCGTCACACCGTGAGGTGAGAGCTCATTGGATTCGAACATCGTGTATTCTTAGTAGACGCGATAAACCAAGAATGGAAGTCTTCTGCATTTGTCCTGCCAAGATTTTTGCCTTACTGTGGCAAACCGATATGACCTTGTGATTCGAGAGTAGAGAGGGACTGATTCCACCAAGGACTCCAACAACCAGAACAACTTAAACTCAGTGGTCTGAATAGAGTCTGCTGACTGCTGAGCTCGAAGAGAAGATCTTGATATTTCATCCGTTATTATTTGTCTTTTCACCTCTCCGGAGCTAAAAACTCATCGACGAATACCGTCCGATTTTATGGTCGATGTGCCAGAATCATCCAATAATGATCATTCCCCACACTATGGGGTAAGTGATCTTTGGGTCCGAGAATCATGTGGCCCAAGCAAGCGTAGTGAGGTAAGAATGACAACCTTCTGCATTTGTCCGGCTGAGATTTTACCTTGTGCAGTAGGCCGGCATGATCTTGATATTGAAGAGTGGTGACAGCACCATTTCATCAAGGACCCCGATAATCAAAACAACCCTTTCGACAGAGTGGTTTTCGAAGAGAAAATCTCGATATTGTATCTGTTTTTCCTTATCTTTTCGAAGATATTCGTCTCGCCAGCTCCTGGCTAGAAGTGCCAGAATCGTCCAATAATGATCATTCTCCAAACCATGGGATGGTTGACATTGAGTTCCAGAATTGTGTGCTCCAAGCAGACGCAATGAGCCAAGAATGACGACCTTCTGCATTTGTCCGGCCAAGATTTCTGCCTTACTGTGGCAAATCGATATGGCCTTGTAATTCGAGAGTAGAGAGGGCATCATTACACCAAGAACTCCAATAACCAGAACAACTCAAACTGAGTGGTCTGGATAGAGTCTGCTGAGCTCGATGAGACGATCCTGATATTTCATCCGTTTATCTTTGTCTTTTAAGAAAAATATTCACCTTTTCCGGAGCTGAAAAGTCATCGACGAATACCGTTCAATTCTATGGTCGATATTTATTATTATTTTTTTTGTTGCGCTGGTCGGGCCCTAGTTGGATGATATTCGTCTAGCCAGGAGCTGAAGTGACGGGAGGGTGCTAGAACCGTCCAATAATGATCATTCCCCATACAATGGAATAAGTGACATTGAGTTCCAGAATAATGTGCTCCAAGCAGACGCAGCTAGGGATGACATCATTCCACCAAGAACTCGAATAATCAGTACAACCATTTCAGATAGTCTGAATAGAGTTTGTGAAGTTCTAAGAAAAAAAATCGATATTTAATCAGCTTTTCACCCTCGTTTTGTAAAATATTCATCTCAGCCGTAGCTGAAAACTTCATCACGAATATTATCTTGCTCTGATGGTTGAGAATAGTTACATCAGGGTTATAAACTGGTATCAGCCTAGGAATTGGAAATGAATAGTTTCAATAAAACCGGCACTTCTCATTCCCCACAATGGATTCTATATCTTCCAGTGTCTCGTCAATACCGTGAAAGTGCTGTAGGTAGTAATTGAGAACTCTTGAGGCCGCGTCATGACGGTGTGTATAGTGGATATGCTGACAGTATTGGGGTTTCAGGCGACTGACGTAACACTACAGGCATCACGCGACTGCCATTGACAAGAATGACTTCTCTTCAAAAGAAGTAACGCCCACGTCAAAAAGAGATGAAAAAAAACACTAATATTGTCTCGCTGTTAATATTCAGAACCCACTTAGTCAAAAAACGAATTCGAGATCTAAGTCGAAATTTCTGAATCATAGTCGAAATTCCGAGTTTGAAGCCAGAGATTATAGTCGGAATTTTGAGTCGTAAAGTGTGAATTTTCAAGAAACATATGATAAAAATATTTGGCTCTTCTGCGCTTTCGTGAAAAAAATATTATTAGTACAAATTATAAACGATATGGCCTTGTAATTCGAGAGTAGAGAGGGCATCATTACACCAAGAACTCCAATAACCAGAACAACTCAAACTGAGTGGTCTGGATAGAGTCTGCTGAGCTCGATGAGATGATCTTGATATTTCATTCGCTTATCTTTGTCTTTTAAGAAAGATATTCACCTTTCCCGGAGCTGAAAAGTCATCGACGAATACCGTTCAATTCTATGGTCGATATTTATCATTATTATTTTTTTAAGATTGCGCTGGTTGGGCCCTAGTTGGACGATATTCGTCTAGCCAGGAGCTGGAGTGATGGGAGGGCGCTAGAATCGTCCAATAATGATCATTCCCCATACAATGGAATAAGTGACATTGAGTTCCTGAATCATGTGCTCCAAGCAGACGCAGTGAGCTAAGGATGACGGCCTTTTGTCTCAGTACGGCAAGTCGACATGATCATGAGATCCGAGAGTAGAGAAGACATCACTCCACCAAGAACTCGAATAATCAGAACAACCATTTCAGATAGTCTGAATAGAGTCTGTTGAAGTTCTAAGAAAAAAACTCGATATTTATTCGGCTTTTCACCCTCGTTTTGTAAAATATTTATTTCAGCCGTAGCTGAAAACTCCATCACGAATATTGTCTTGCTCTGATGGTTGAGAATAGTTACATCAGGGTTATAAACTGGTATCAGCATGGGAGTTGGAAATGAATTGTTTCATTCCCCACAACGGATTCTATATCTTCCAGTGTCTCGTCAATACCGTGAAAGTGCTGTAGGTAGGTAGTAATTGAGAACTCTTGAGGCCGCGTCATGACGGTGTGTATAGTGGACATGCTGGCAGTATTGGGGTTTCAGGCGATTGACGTCAACACTACAGGCATTACGCGACTGCCATTGACAAGACTGGCTTCTCTTCAAAAGAAGTAACGCCAACGTCAAAACGAGACGAAAAACACAAACACTAATATTGTCTCGCTGTTAATATTCAGCACCCACTTAGTCAAAAAACGAACTCGAGATCAAAGTCGAAATTTCTGAATCATAGTCAAAATTCC